TTAAAGAAGGCATTTGATGCCCATCAGGACCTGCATTCAGGTTTACTCTTTATGAACTCTTTATGGATGGTTGAAACTGAGATTTTCTAGCTGATTTTCAAGGAATTTCAAGCGATAAAGAAAACTACTCCTCATAGTTCCAAGTAGAACTGGAATTCTGGATAATTTGCTCCCAGTCTGTCAATGAATACCTTCTGGGAGCATATTTGTAAAGGCAGTTTCCCTCTTAAGAAAGCTTATCACAGGTCAATTCAAAATTGATCATTTGCTCAACTATCTCTCCTAAGAGGCCTTGGGAAGATAAGCTATGCGTCTCCAGCTGAAAAAAGTTAAAAATGTTGTAAATCAGTAATGATAGTGGAATAATGATAGTGAAGAAGCCTGGAAGACTTTAATTCAGTTTTATTTATATGACAACAGTCACCTCAAGGCACTTTATATTGTACAAATCGCTTTATAATAAATTACATGTGTGAGATATTTGGGTCTCATGAAATGTCTTGTAAAGTGAACCTGCTCAAAAGATTAACCTGGTCATCTTCTTTATAATGAAATTCATTTTTTTCGTCTCGTTGCAGAGGCGTGGTTTTTGTTCCTGATGACCTCCCGCTGGTTTGCACTACGCCTTGACAGCATTTGCTCCATATTCATCGCTCTCACAGCATTCAGCTGCGTCTTACTCAGACATGGTGAGGAACTAAAGCACCATGCAGACAAACTGTCTCACAACAGGTGCCTTATATTGTAAGGTAAAGAGTCTGTAACAATACAAAGAAAACCCCAACCATCAGAGGACCCTCTTAGAGCAAGCACTTGGCTACGGTGGGAAGGAAAAACTCCTTAATTTATTTTATTACAGCGATTATGTATGCTGTAGGTATTAAAGGTACTGTACAATGTTTTGAATATCAATCTGTCATACTCTAATTTGTGCATGTAAATGGAGAGTCCTCTTCACACACTGAGGTTAATTATGGAGTTCCACAGGGTTCAGTGCTAGGACCAATTCTGTTTACATTATACATGTAGGCAATATCATTAGAAGGCAAAGATGGCATAACACACACCAATTTGTTAAAATACAGGAATGTCTTAAAGACATAAAGACCTGGATAACGTCTACTTTTCTGCTTCTAAATTCAGATAAAACTGAGGTTATTGTACTCACCTATAGAAATCTAACCCTAACCCTCCAGTAACACTGTGAGGAATCTTGGAGTCATTTTTGACCAGGATATATCATTCAGTGCATATATGGTAAACAAATATGTAGGACTTGATGATGCTGAAAAACTTACTTCTAGGCTGGACTATAATTCCTTATTATCAGGATGTCCTAAAAACGTCCTAAAAAGCCTTGAGATGATCCGCAATGCAGCAAAGATACTGACAGGGACTAGACAAAGAGAGCACATTTCACCGACACTGGTTTCTCTTCATTGCCTCCCTGTTAAATCCGGAATCGAATTTAACATACAAGGTCTGGAATAATCAGGCCCCATCTCATCTTAAAGACCTAATAGTACCCTATCAACCCATTAGAGCACTTCGCTCTCAGACTGCAAGCTTGTTTGTGCTTCCTAGGGTATTTAAAAGTAGAATGGGGGGCCGAGCCTTCAGTATTCAGGCCCCTCTTTTGTGGAACCAGCTCCAAGTTTGGATTCAGGAGACAGACAAACTCTACTTTTAAGACTTTTTTATAAAGCATATATTTAGGGATGGATGAGTTGACCCTTAATTTTCCCTTAGTCATGTTGCAATAGCTCTAGGCTGCTGGGGGCTTCCCATGATGAGTCTTTTTCTTCACTCTTTATGTGCGTATGCACCACTCAGCATTTATTCATTAGTTATCGTTCATCTCTGGCTCTGTTCCAGGGTGTGTCTTTGTCCCGTCTTACTCCCTGCACCCACAGTCAATCATGGCAGATGGCTGCCTCTTCCTGACCTGGTTTTGCCAGAGGTTTCTTCCTATAAAAACAGAGTTTTTCCTTCTCACTGTCGCCAAAGGATTTGCTCGTAGGGGGTCACATGATCGTTGGGGTTTTCCTCTGTATTATTGTAGGGTCTTTACCTTACAATATAAAGTGCTTTGAGGCAATTGTTGCTGTGATTTGGTGCTATATAAATCAAATTGATGTGAATTGAATTGAATCTGTGCAACAGGTCAAGAATATATAATGTAGGTTAATAAGATTTGCCATAAATGGACGTTTATTAAAACCTTTACTTAAACTATAAGAAAGAAAGGAAAGGAAAACCAAACAGTTCCACAACTTTTAAGTCAACCAACCCCTTAGTGGGCTTAGGGTATTTAGCAAACTAAACACAATTAAATGTTTAATTTAACTGTATTTAGTTTGCTAAATACCCTAACCACACACACTGAGTTAATGCAGAACAAAGTCCTGAAGTAGCCTCTGATTTCTGATCATGTTTTGGATCCATTAGGCCTGGAGGCTGGAGAGGTGGGCCTTGTGCTGACCTATGCTGTAACACTGATAGGAAACTTCCAGTGGACAATGAGACAAAGTGCAGAGGTGGAGAACATGGTAAGAACTGAGTGATGACATTTTGTATTTCCAGTTTTTTTGAATGAATGATGTTGATGAAAAAAGTGTTGGTGGGTGAAGATAAATGTACTTAATGGACAGTTACATGGAGCAATGTTTCCATTTCCCTTAATCCTCTCAAATTTTGATCATACCTCATTTGTACAAAAAGTTTGGACACTTGACTTCTGCACTTACATTAAAGTATGCTGTACAAATTATAAAGCCCTTTGTAGAAAAGTTGGAATTTTCGGTTTTGGGGTTTAAAAAAATATAAAAACATCCTGATGCCTATGAATGAACGTTAACATAGGCTACAAAAACCATAATTGAAAAAGACCACTTGGCTTTTCAGATGACATCAGTGGAGAGGGTGGTGGAGTACACTGAGCTAAAGAGTGAAGCACCCTTAGAAACTCCGCAGCGTCCTCCCCCTGATTGGCCGAGCCAAGGAATGATAACCTTTGATCGAGTAAACTTCTTCTACAGCAAGGATGGACCATCGGTCCTCAAAGACATCAACGCCACGTTTCAACCCAAAGAGAAGGTAACATCTGTTTGTGGAGAACAGCTGGTTGGGTCTGGGTGATGATCAGCTGTTGATGTTTTGTGTGTCCTCTGGGTCAGGTCGGTATTGTGGGTAGAACAGGAGCGGGGAAAAGCTCTCTGGTCTCGGCTCTGTTCCGCCTGGCAGAGCCCCAGGGGAAGATCTACATCGACGGTGTTGTGACCTCTGAGATCGGCCTACATGACCTGCGCCAGAAGATGTCCATCATTCCTCAGGTACAACATCAGATGACACCTCAACTGCCTGAAGAAAAACGTAGTTACAATCTCACTGTTACAATAATGCTATCCATTCTGTTATTCTTCTATTAATTAAAACTGCTATATCATTTATTTTCAGTAAATTAAACTCAAAACACAGATTTTCAAAGTCATACAATACTGCGTGTCTTGTGTTTCCAAATCCATGTCCAGCTTTGGTACATAGCATTAATGACGTAGCAGAGTCTACTGATTTTTCTCCCTGACTTCTCTCCCCTCTGCTCCCCCAGGACCCAGTTCTCTTTACTGACAGTGTGAGGAAGAACTTGGACCCTTTCAACCAGCACACTGATGAAGACCTGTGGAAAGCTCTGGAAGAGGCTAGTATTTAATCAGCATACCCAGATTTGTCGTTACTGCCCATAGACCAGCTACAGGCTTCTCCTCTCCATGTTCACTGCAGGTACAGATGAAGTCTGTGGTGGAGGAGCTGCCTGGGAAGCTGGAGGCTGTCCTGGCTGAGTCAGGCTCCAACTTCAGCGTGGGCCAGAGGCAGCTGCTGTGCCTGGCCAGAGCAGTCCTGAGGAAGAACCGCATCCTCATCCTCGACGAAGCCACGGCCAACGTTGACCCAAGGTCCTCCAGATACATTACCAGTACAGAGAGCTCCTAGACATCCAGTAGCTTTCTCAACACACTTTTCCCCACATGGTTCTCCAAGTGTTTTTCTTGTTGTTACTGCAGGACAGATGAGCTGATCCAGAAAACCATTCGGGAAAAGTTCAGAGACTGCACTGTGCTCACCATCGCTCATCGCCTCAACACCATCATAGACAGCGACCGTATACTGGTGACTCAGCTATTCCGACTGTAGCTTTTTAATAAATTCATACTATTAGAGTACACAGATACGCAAAAATTGTTCCTGTGTTAACTGTTACACCACCGCATGTTTTCTGTTGGCCTAAGGTGCTGGACAGTGGCACCATCCAGGAGCTGGACTGTCCTTTCACTCTGCTGCAAAACAAGGAGGGTGCTCTCTACAAGATGGTGCAAGAGATGGGCCAGGCTGAGGCAGCGGCTCTGCTGGAGTCAGCAGGAAGGTGAGGTGAAAAAAAGTCCCCTTAAACATGGCTGAAAAATCTGCATCCACACCGTTTTCATGCTTTCCAGCTTATGACAGCAGCCTGAGCAAAATAATTTAGACTTTTCTGTGGCTGCTGCAACTTTAAACCAGGTGAGGTCTACTTCCAACAAGTCTCTCTCACACCCAAACAGACAGAAGTTAAACTGTGACGTGGAGTGAAACACTGGAATCAGCTGAACTCTTGCAGCAACCTCTGAGCACCGCGAGCTCCTCCTGCCTCCAACTGTGTGCAACGACTGGGGCATTTGATGTTTTTATGCTTTCTTATTTGATCTGTGTCTGTTTTTAAGTTATGTTGAAATCATAAATTATGGTTACATTGACATGTGAACAAGCTACTCTGTAAGATCTGTAAGCTTCAGAATTTGACCTTGAATTCCCAAACCGTTATACTTTTTGTACACGGATTTTCATAAAGTTCATGTAATTTGTAACAGTCCTTGTCTTCTTGACTTGACCAAAGATTTGATTTCAGTATTGTATCTTAGTAGCAATATTTGCCAAAAAGCAAAAACTACACAATACACCAAGACAAATGTTACCATGTGAGATGTGTGGGCCTTTTATGTAATATTTGACGAAACAAGTGTACAAACCTGAAATAACTTAAACATTCAGCAGACAGCTCACACTGCTATTTCACTTTCCTCCCTGGAAATGCTTCAGTCAGCATTTAAACAACACAAGGAACAAAATATTTAACACTAAAAACTTGTGAAACTTTTTTTTCAAGTCTTTAAAACATGTAGTTAAAGAGATAAATGTTAAAAAATACAGAGAGATCTCTGCCGAGTAAGAATTTGGTCGTTACTAATCCTGAACAAACATATCACTTTGATTTACAAATCCAAAGGCAACTTTGGCAACACTTTCATCAATAAATTAAAGCACTTGGGATTTTAAAAATTATGTAGCCATTTAAAAGCTATTTGTGCAAGGCATCAGAATGCTGAACAGCAATTTAACACGTGAGAGATAAATAGGTAGTGCTCTACATCAACAGTTCTCATAGCCCTGATTTCTGGGCAGTCAGTCTGAGGAAACAGCTGCACTGTGTGGCCACATCAGGCCCAGCAAATCAATGCTGTGCAGGTCATGTCCACCCCGTCTTACGCCACCAGCAGCGGATCAGCGCTTTCACCAGAGACTGGAGGGGCTTTACAGCCCAGGCACCTTCTGAAATCTTCTGGAGGAGCAGCAGCAATTCAGTGCCTCCCTGAGCTTACAGAGCGGTCTCAAAGATAACCAAGTTCCCGTCTGCTGTTACTGCGTGTCCGTTTGACAGGCCAGAGCGGCTCCTGCTGTCGTAAGCCTGGAATGCGTAGTTTACAAATGTCAGTTTACAAAAAGAGATTGTTTTCTTTAAGTGTGAAGAACTTGAGTCAAACTGACCTTTTTAGCCGCCTCTAGAAGAGCTGCTGCCTCCTGTTTGCCCGTCTGCTGCACCATTTTATAAAAAATGTTAGTGGGATCCTGCAGCAGGGTGTACGGCTCATCATACGCATGGATCTTCCCTGCATCTAGAACCTGGAAACAAATAGTTCTGATTAATTCACAAAAGTAAGAGCACAGTGTGAGTTTCAAAGTAAAACTAACAGCCTCTTGGCTTGAATCTGGCATGTTTCAGGCTATGAAAAAAAAAAGCTGCTCAACCCAGAAAGCCCAACACTCCATCCACAAACAGGGAAAGCAGAAGCTGCTCCAAAGGTGACAGTCACACTTGTGTTACAGTTTGTATGTTTGGACACCAATCTTGTCAAATACAGAATGCATTGAGCATTAAACAGAACAGATTATTTGGATCCAGCTCTCAGCAAAAAGCCATTCTACTTTTTACCTTTGCATTAGTTGTTTAACTACTACCTAATTAGAGGTTTTACCTAATTAAGTGGCATCAGTGTTAACGGTTCAGGACTCACCAGTATACGGTCGCTGTCTACGATGGTGTTGAGGCGATGAGCGATGGTGAGCACAGTGCATTCCCTGAACTTATCTCGTATGGTTTTCTGGATCAGCTCATCGGTCCTGCAGCCACAGAAATAAACGCTTCTGTTAGTGTGACCTTTAGATAAAAATTTACTATCAGCAAACAACCACCGATGCATGATTCACGTGTCAAAGTAAGTGTCATCAGCTGAGTAGTTTCTGTATCCCATCATGCTGCAGTACACAAGATATTCTTCTGTCTAACAAGATGTTGTTCATAGGCAAACGTCATCTTGCAGTACCTCGGGTCCACATTGGCTGTGGCCTCATCAATGATGAGGATGCGGTTCTTCCTCAGGACAGCTCGTGCCAGACACACCAGTTGCCTCTGGCCCACACTGAAGTTGGAGCCCGACTCAGCCAGGGCAGTCTCCAACTTTCCAGGGAGCTCTTCCACCACAGACTTTAGCTGCACCTGCAGGAATAAAAAAATAAATAAAATAAAGCAGCTTTAACTACACTGTGTGTGTCCTCTATAAATAATTCCTGCTCTGTCGTCTTTTTACAGTTAGTTCCACAGGGTTCTGTACTGGGACCAATCATACATGCTTCCCCTTCCATTAGAAGCACTGCTATGATATGATATGATACGCAGAAGACACCCAGCTTTATTTATCAATCAAGACAAATGATAAAGACATGTCTTAAAGATGGGCCTGGATGACCTCATGTCCATCTGCTAAATTCAAACAAAGCCAAGTTTATTGTTCTCCGTTTCAAAAACAAATAGTGTGTCTAACCTGACACTGACTCAACCTCCAGTAACACAAGGACTCCTGTTTGATCAGGGTATGTTCTTTAGCATCTACATTAAGGACTGCCTTTCTTTTCCTTCTATTAATTTGTGCAGTACCTGTAAAATTAGAAGCAACCTGTCTCAAAGTAAAGCTGGAAGCTAGTTGGTGTATTTATTCATTCTAGGCTGCATTGTTGTAAAAGCCTAAAAGCCTTCAGTTGATCCAGAATGCTGCCATCAGTATAAAAGAGACTCCATTCCTCACATATTAGCTTCTCTGCATTAAATTTGAAGTTCTTCTTCTTACATATAAAAAATCATGAATAATAAGACCTGTTAGTATCTTAATATCCTAACAAAGATTAATATAAACTATAACATAATATAATTACTGCATAGTCATCCGTTTTGACTACAATGTTACCCACAGAGATGTCCCGTGATGCTAAGAGCACAGCTTTAGCACATTTGTGCCATTCACTGCCTTCCCATCATAGGTCCATCCAACCCTGTCAGGGACACATCTGTGACAAGGGCTACTCTGGGTAACATCACCCTCAGAGGTATTTGTGCAATAAGAGCTGCTGGGTTCCTCTGCAGGTGGAGAACTGTGATAGACAGTGGAGTGTTATTGTTACACTGTGACAGCAGCAGATGTAGAGATGTGACCCAAAGCTGACAATCCCTCATTATAAGCAGTTGTAAATGCACCACAGAAATTAAAGAGTGCAAGGATGCAGAGAGTTGGAACTGTACAGCTTTTCTCAGCTGAAAGAGGGAGAGACAATGTGTGAAGGATGCTGATGATCCTCTGCTCTGAAAGTGACACAATTAGGAATGGGATCTGTATAGAGCCCCAGATAGTCCATACATGGTGCAGGTTCCTGGCAGCTCTTTTCAAGGCTGATTTTGAGGTCGAAATCCTTGAGGTCATTCACCACCACACTGGGATCTCTGATTGTTTGCTCCTGGCTCCAGGACATAATTACATAATTGCCTATGTAAGAGAATATCCTCATGCAATAGAGACAGCAGCTCCTCCACCCTCAGTCATCCTGAATGGGACAGTTTGATGCTAGTATGGTACGCTCTGATGAGCCAACCTGACATATTTCACAATATTTCTGTTGCTATGGTAAGATAATAAAATAGTTTGGCAAGTATTCTGCTTCATCATACACGAATTAAAACTCACACACTACTGATTCTGCCGATTGTGAGAGTTACTGACCTCTTCCAGAGCACTCCACAGTTCTTCATCTGTGTGTTGGTTAAATGGATCCAGGTTCTTTCTCATGGAACCCGTAAACAGTACCGGGTCCTAAAGGGGTGGGGGAGAGTTGGAGAACCCAGAGGACACCAAAATGATTAGATTTTGTGGACTATTTGAAGAACAGCACAGTGACTTATTTCGACATATCTGAGTGAGTGTCCTGCTGTGGCAGGTAAAAGTTTAAAAAACTTAAATACCACACATGGCACACTGTAACCAGCTGCCCTCTTTTGGTTTTAAATGCATCCTACAGTTTGCACAAGTTCTGACTGATCACAGCAAAGAGCTTTGTGGGAATTGAAATGCTGAGAGAGTTGAGGAGAAAATGTTTGCTGGACAGCTGATTTTAACTCATTACTGCTAAGCTGGTGAAAACAAACAAACAACAACAAAAAAACAAAAAGATGCAGTGTTAAAACTACACTCGTATAATTGTTTTAGCAAATAATTCAATTTTATTTATAAGCACCAAATCAAAGCAGTTGCAACAAAGTGCTAACACTTGTGCTTTTCTCACAGAGCAAACAGAAGTGACTCTAGAGTGTCAGAGCAGATTGGGGCTGTTGATCCTTTCTTTGCTTTAAGGATGTGCCCAACTAGTAATAAGTAATGTCACTTATTAGCCAAATATTTCTCATGTCAAAGTAAAAAAGTCATAGAAGACAAGCTACGAAACAAGGCAACAAGAGTAGCCAGATGCTAGTGTTGTGTTCTGCTAAGAGGTCAGCTATGATGTTGTACCTGAGGAATGATGGACATCTTCTGGCGCAGGTCATGGAGGCCAATCTCAGAGGTCACAACACCGTCGATGTAGATCTTCCCCTGGGGCTCTGCCAGGCGGAACAGAGCCGAGACCAGAGAGCTTTTCCCGGCTCCTGTTCTACCCACAATACCGACCTGACCCAGAGGACACAACATAAGCTTTGGTTTGACAGCGTATCACACAAATGGCTTCAGGTTCTTAGAAACAAAACAAATAAACCTTGATGTCTGACCTTCTCTTGGGGTCTAAACATGGCTTTCAGGTTGTGCAGCACCTGAGGTCCATCAGCACTGTAGAAGAAGTTGACCTGGTCAAAGGTCACCAGGCCTTTACTTGGCCAATCAGGAGGAGGACGTTTCTGGGTTTCCCAGGGTGCTTCACTCTCCAGTTTAGTGTACTCTACTACTCTTTCCACTGATGTCATCTGAGGACAGAAACGCAGAAATGCACATTAAATCAGGATCAGTCTGTGTGGTCAAGAACACAACATGTAAGAAAACTATTTGCGTACAAGGTAAATTTAAGAAATAAACAATCAGGTAAATCTGAAAGAATGGATTAATATCTAGAATTACACCAAAAATTTAAGAAGATACTGCCCACCATATCCTCCACATCCAATCAGCAAGTCTGCAACTCATAACTCAGTGTTCAGCATGCTTCAGTCTGCCACTGTTTCTGGGCTTCTCCAGGATTATTTTCCTAAGCTACTTTTTTCCCATGAGCTGCTTTTCTCAATGAAGGAGAACTGCCACGTGAATCAGACGGATGTTATAGAATCATTTAGTGTGTCTACTTGGTATCAAGGAGAATGCAGGTATTATTTATTATGGACAGATGCCAGAGAAACTCTTTGAGAATACCAGTAAATGGTAAATGGCCTGTATTTATATAGCGCATTACTAGTCCCTAAGGACCCCAAAGCGCTTTACATATCCAGTCATCCACCCATTCACACACACATTCACACACTGGTGATGGCAGCTACATTGTAGCCACAGCCACCCTGGGGCGCACTGACAGAAGCGAGGCTGCCGGACACTGGCGCCACCAGGCCCTCTGACCACCACCAGTAGGCAAACATGGGGCTAGTATCTTGCCCAAGGACACAACGACCGAGACTGTCCAAGCCGGGGCTTGAACCGGCAACCTTCCGATTACAAGGCGAACTCCCAACTCTTGAGCCACGATCAGTACAACTAGTGGTCTGAAAGTGGTGTGAAAGAGTAGAATCCCAAAGCTTAACCCTTTGGACTCTTGCAAAATAATAATGTCCATTCGTCCTCTTCTGCTTATCAAATTCAAGGTCACGGGGGGACTGGAGCCTATCCCAGCTACCACAGGTCGGGAGGCAGGGTACACCCCGGACAGGTCGCCAACACAGACACAGATAACCATTCACACTCACATTCACACCTACGGGCATTTTAGATTCACCACTAACTTCATGTCTGTGGACTTTCGGAGGAAACTGGAGTACCCGGAGAGAAACCACACAAACATGGGGAGAACATACAAACTCCTCACAGAAAGACCCCGGCCTGATGGTGGAATTAAACTCAGAACCTTCTTCTTGCTGTGAGACAACACTTCTAACCACTGCATCACCCGAATAAATAAATAATTTACTTCAGACTGTAGGTATGCTGACCTCCTTGAAAACCTAAAAATTTTTGATCACAGAATAAATACAATATTTGGACTATTTCTGGAAATTAGTGAGATTTATATGGGAATAGCAAAAGCTCAGTCATGTAAAGAAATGATACAAACTCTGGATATAAAAGAGACAGTGAGTATCTTACCATGTTCTCCACCTCTGCACTCTGTCTGACACCCCACTGGAACATGCCCATTAGTGTGACAGAGTAGCTCAGAGCCAAACCAACAGCACCTGCATCAAGCTCTGACAGGAGCAGGAAAACAAACATTTTACTAACACTTTTAAAAGTTAAACGGCAGCAATCACTCAGCATCTGCTGGATTTCACATACACTGTAGTGCCATAAGTATTCACTTAACTGCCTTCGCAAGCATATGAACTTGAGTGACATCCCATCCATTTAATTTAGAGGGTTTAAAATTATGCAGCTTCAACTCTTCCACAAGGTTTAGCAGTGTGTTTTGTGGGAATTTTTGATCATTCTTCCAGAAGTGCATTTGTGAGGTCAGACACTTATGTTGGATGAGAAGGCCTAGCTCATCATCTCCACTCGAATTCATCCCAAACTCACTCACACATGTCTTCATGGACTTCATGGACGTTGCTTTGTGTACTGTACACAGGGGCCATCGCCTTGATGGTGATGAATGAAATTGTCCAAAATGTCTTGGTATGCTGCACTAAGAGTTTCTTTCCCTGGAAACAGTCAGATAAGTACCGTTCTCAGACTGGACCATCGGCTTGCCAGATGGAGAAGCTTGATCGTTCATCAATTTGGATGGGTAAGCCTATACTTTTGGCAATATAGTATAGCTTACCAGCTGCCCCCTGCTGGTAAGCGATCACGAACAGCAACACTAAATCAGCAGTAAAATTAGTTCTCTCACTGTCTCTGAGCAGCAGACAGCCAAAAGTAGTGATGGTAACAAAGATGGAGCAGATGCCATCAAGGCGGACAGCAAACCAGCGAGAGGTGGTCAGGAATAGGAACCAGGCCTCTGCACAGGGAAACAATCCATCACTGACAGTTCAAAAACATACAAATTTTAGGTTCTCTGATCATAATATGAGCTTCTATGTGCCAAGCTTGAAGAGAACCTGAGTGCAGGTCCTGATGGGCATCAAAGACTTTCTGGAAGCGCTCCTCTTCTCCAAATGCTCGGATTGTCCAAAGGCCCTGAAGAGATGAGGACAAGTGGGAGAAGACTGGACTCCGAGCTGAGGACACAGATGAGTCAGAAGTTACCAATAGGTTAAAGAGCTTCAAGCTTTAAAGATATTAAATATGCAGGTTTTAAAATGAAAAAGAAACAACAGTAGCAGCACATATATCTCCTTCTTCACACACTGTTGTACTGTAGGACACTCACTGGTGGACTCGAGCCGTTTAACATTTCTGGAGGTCCGCAGAAAGTAGCGACGCAAATAAAGAAAGATGAGAAGGAGGGGGACAACGGGGATAAGGATCCAGGGAATCACTGACGCTGCAACAGCAATGACCCCAAGTATCTGGAGGAAAATCTGCTCACAACAGATAACAGAAAAACACATCAACATTAAAGTGGTTTGTTCTTGTGCCTTTTTCTTTTTGAGTGTCTTTTAAAAAAATGAATGTTTTACAGAATGAGAAAGTATTTTCATTAACTTGTGCATTGTACTCCAGCCTTTCACTTTAGTAACAGCACTGTCAGTTTAACTCATTTTATTCTTCAAAGAGATCTTTGACCCTCTGTTACAAATAAGAGCGTTATCTCAGATGGACATCAGCAGGTAAATGTTACCAACCTCAGCAAAGGGCAGTGCCACAGCGTTTACACTTGCCCTTTACTCACCAGTGGCATCACTGAGCACTGAGTGACTGAGGCAAGCTCAAGGAACATGTGACAACAAAGAAATTCGTAATATTTTGTCCAGCAGCGTGTAATCAGTGTAATGATTAGCTTCAAAGTTAAGAGCTAAGGGCTAATGAGTTATAAAGCCTGGTCCTGAGTGAAGTATTTCAGGTACTGCATTGATTTCATAGGACAGCTGCTGTGAGTCTGCAGCAAAGTTTAAATTGCCTAGTTAAGGCATTTTCTTCATAGAATTTAGCTTTCACTTTGGAAAACTACCCAGCAACAGATGAGCACATGGTAAGATCGCTTTTCTTCTTAGGTTTTTGAACTGTTGATTTGATTCTATTAAGACTTGTTTTTTTTTTATTGGACTTTAAATGACTTTTATTGGCTTGAAAGTTTTATTATCATTACAGTAGTGAGTGCTGCTGTTGCTTCAGGAAAATACTTCCCTACCTTTGCTCTGGACCTGCTGTGTTTATTGAAAAGAGCATGGAGGCTACAGCTCCACCATAAACTGTCACTTGTTATGATCTTCACTGCAGCTTTGTCAGTGGTTTAGAAAAGAAAAATGCTGCTGTGTCTTTGCTGAGAAATCTACCCTCACCTGAACGAAGTCTGCAAACGTCACTGGCATGTTGGAGTCCAGCAGCCCAATGTCCTTTGAAAATCTGTTCAATACTCTTCCTGAGGTCAGACAAGAGACAATTATCACCACACTTTGAAACCAGCTAGAGTAAGATTAACGTTTAGTTTAACTTTCCTTGCCTGTATACTGTGCCCCCACAAAGATGGCAAATGGAGCAAAAGTAACCACAAACTTCATCCATCCATCTTTACCCCCTTTATCTGGGTTATCCGGGTCACACCAAGGTATGACTGAGCTCCTCACCCTATGTGTAAGGAAGAGGAACCTCACCAAACCTCATCTAACCCTGGAGCCCGGCCAGCTTTTTTGTTTTTTTTGGCTTCAGTGGCCTCCGCCACAGTGATGGATGGGTTAGCTCCAGACTCTGCTTCCACTACGGAAGGTGTATCAGCAGGATTGAGGACATCCTTTAAGCAGATCAAGCATCCTACCCAGGGACTTGAGGGTTGGGTATTGTGCTCATGTGTCAAATGTGATTTTACACATAAGCATAAAATGACAGTCAGGACCTGTTTCTTGACTCGAATGCACAGGTAAACAACCCCACTCATCCATCCCAAAGCACAGTTGCCAAATTGGCGATACCTGTATACCCCACCTGCCTGTCACCTCTCACTGAGGGCAACCCAGGATTGGTACAATGTCCAGCCCTCTCTAGACACCAGAGCAAAAGCTATGAGTTCATGTGAGCGTGACTACACCTAGCTCATATTTCTCAACCTCAAGCATTAGCTCAGGCTACTTCCCCCTCAGAGAGGTGCCATTCCAAGTTCCTAAAGCCAGATTTCTCAGACTGCCCCTGACCATTGCCCCTCCGGTGAGTGGTTGGCCCACACGAGCACTACAGAATTCCATTTAGAAGTTTTTGAACTACAAAATTCTACAATTTACCGACTCTGGCTTTAGAACGCACAACACTAAAAAATTTTGCTTACCAATCGGATTGATGTCAAAGAAGCGCACGGGTGTTTGGAGTATAGCGCTAAACATGCGGTTGTGCAGAGACTGTGAACACCTCACTAGCACATCGAACAGCACCAAATTCCTGCCAAAGCCAAAGATTATGGTGACTGCAGTCAAACCTGGAAAAATAACACACCATAAAACACCAATGGAGTAAAATCAGACGAAATGCAGCGCAGTGTAAATAAGAGAACACCTTTACCTCCATAAATTCCCAGGTAAAAATCCGTGTCCAGCTCTTTGGTGACATTTAGTCCATTTGCTGTGATGTTAGTCATGTTACTGCTGGCCATTAGTTTTTCTTGCTCATCAGCCCTAAACAGTCAGACATGAGTATAAACAGACATGTAAAAGCTGCAGTCTATGAGGAAAACGGCAGATTGAAGATACTTACCAGTAAGCTAGCCACCAGTCTTGCATGATGTATGCTACCTAGGAGATATAAAAGCCAAAAAAAACTGCTTTATATTACACATGTGAAATGCATTCAACACTTATTCTCTCTGAGCTAACATGTGGAAGGCGAATTACAAGTGCAGGTGAGTCTTTGTGTACCTGAGCCATGATGTTAAGCAGCACGACAGCCAGCAGAACCACAATGTTGGCCCCAGCTGTCAGATACTTGGCATACATGCGTATTCCAATGGTTCCCTGAGCTCGAGTCTCCTCTGCAAATGTCTGAACTTTCTCCGCCTGCGAGGAAGTCATCAGCATACAGACAAGTATCATGATCACTGGCCGTCAAGTTCCCTGTGTTTAACTTGTCAAAATGAAAACGGACTAAAGCAAACTAAGCTCAAGTTGTGTCTGTTCAGCACGCTCTGTTAAAGACCATTGGGGGAGGGGGAAAAGAAAGAAAAGCAAACATAATATTAAACTAGGGATGGGCAGAAACGACCCATTTCCTATAAACAACCCTGATTTTTGAAAAACTAGGCTGTTTTTACTGATAATTATGCACTAACCGGTAACTGGTCTCCATCTTTGATGGACTGGACAGAGGAGGTCTGGGACAGTACTGAATTTTGAGACAGAGTTCGAGTTCTGGTGGGGGTGTCATGATGAGGCTGCTGTTGCTCCTCTTCCTCCTCCTTCTTGAGAAGGGAGGTGAAGTCCAATCCAGACTGCTGAAGCGCCGTGTAAGTTCCCTTTGCCACCATGTGACCCTGACAAACACACACATATCACCAAGTGTTAGGAAATTGTACAGCTGTGTTTTACAGACCTATGGCAGCACCACCTCCTCATGTGAAACACACACTTTGTAGTGTTTGAAGATGTTAACCGCAGTACATTTCCAAAGTCCTGCGAGTCACCCAGATAGTCTGTTGACAGTCAGCTAAGCAAGCTGACTGTCAACGGACTATCTGGCAGCACTCAGTCTTGTTTGTGCTTTTCTACAAATGGTAGTAGTGTGGCTGAATTTCAGAAAACATGTCCTGAAGAGACAAAGATAAATCCCTGCATCCCCTTCAGTCTATGATCTAATACAGGGGTGTCAAACGTATGCCCGGCAGGCCAGATCAGGCCCGCAAACGGGCTTAATCCAGCCCGTGAGATGATTTTGTAAAGTATAAAAATGAGCAGCAATTTTTCAATAAAGAAACTGCTGTTCCAATTGTGTCCATTGGATGGCGCAATAGCAATTGTGAGCTACTTTGTTTTGCCTGCGAAATTTAAACCTGATCTGCTTTGGCAC